ATTGCGATGACAACCTGTCTATGCGCTACACATCTCTCATCCGAGCGGCTGCGGGGCGGGGCGGGGCTCACTGCCAGCGCCATGTACCTAATGATGGAATCAGAGAGGGAATGCACCCGCCGCCCCGCCCCGCCCTGCGGCGAGCACGTGCACACGTGGCGGGGCTCTACTCACGTGCCCGTGCGGTCGGCAGCTCTTCTCTCGACCCGACCCCGCCCCGCTCCATCTGCTGGGTGTTCCGCGGTGTTCCGCCCGCGCCGCCCCCGCGGAAGCGCTGCAGCAGGAGCAGCGGCACTGCTTCGCGGGGGTGCGGGTGGCAGTAGCGGCGCTCAAAGACAGCAGCTATAAACTCCCCGCGCGGGTGTCTCGTTGTCGTTGCAGAGCGGGCGCACCGGCGGGCGCACAACCCCGAGCACCGCAAGAAGGTGCGCTTCCGCTGCGACTTCTGCCCCACCATGAAGGACGTGCTGCGTGACCGCGGCTGGGAGGAGGTAAGTAAGGCGGGGAGGGAGGGTATGAGGGAGGGAGGGAGGGAGGGAGGGAGGGAGGCTCGGGCTGCGCCAATACCGATGTGTATCGAATATTAGATTCGCCGTGGTTCTGCAGTGTGTGTTGTTTGCGGTCGGTGTTTGCGATTGTATTGCCGGTCTGCAGCCGCGCTCGCACTCACCAGAGTACCACTCATCCGAAATAAGCACTCCGCGCACTGCACGACGGGCCTACTTTACCCTCTCTCACAGGGGGAATACATTCGACTTGCGGGGCTGTCATCGTGCAACAACCGACAAGAACCGTGCGTTTTCATTCTCGCTGCTCTCACATCTGTGCTTCCCTCTCTCTCTCTCTCTCCCCCGGCCAGGTCGAGGGGGACGACGAGTTATGGAACTTGTTCTGGTGCGAAGTGTCCCAGCTACGCGCCACCCTGGACCACAGGCGGCTCGACTCCAACCAGCGCGTGCCGCACTTCAGGAACCACTACGAGCTCACCCGCAAGAACCTGCTGTCCAGGAACCTCAAGCGGCTCCGGTGCGTAAAAGTGCGACGCCGCGTCCGCGACCTAGCAATCTTTGAATCCACAAGTTGACAGGAAAGTTCATCGTTCCGACACAACACAACACAATCTTGTATACTGGAGCGCGTCGCGCTGACTGGGATGGGCGACGGGGTGGAGGTGGGGGAGGGAAGGCCAAGTAGGATGGTTTGCCTACCTGGCCGGCGCTGCTGTCGGTGGTTGGGAGCACGATGGGCTGCCTATCTTGGGGCTGACTCTGACTCGCGCACCGTTGCAGGCGCAACCTGATGCGGCAGGGCCGGACTCAGGAGGCTGAGATGTGCGACTGCATCCCCGTCACCTTCGAGCTCCCGGTAGGCCCAAGTCTTTGGAATCACTTAGTTTGATGAACACCATCAATGACCATTGCATGTCCTAAAGGTGACGAGACATCCACAAAATAAATAGTTACGTTTAGGACAATAGCACATCGAACAACTGACAACCAAATAGTCATATTTTTTATAGTGGTAAAAAGCCATTTCTTTAACTTACATGCATAAACTGTGTGACGATTGACAATTCATTACTTGTGGGCTCCTTATCTCCTTGCTTGGAACAGAGTGAGCACCTGATGTTTGTTGAGGAGTTCAGGCGAAAACACGGAGCCACTTGGATCATCAAACCATCCTCTGGGTCACAAGGCAGGGGCATCTTCATCTTTCAAAAGCAAGTACAGTCTTTAAAGCTTTTAACTTGACCGTAAAAGTCTAAAGTGAAAAAATGAACACAAATATGATGATTAATACTGACATTTTTGAAAAAAGGGCAAATGTTGTTGAATAAAACCAATATAAAAATAATGATTTTCGATAATGTGGGTTAGGTGAACTGTATATAGTAAACTAACCACAAGACCAATAGCATTTCAGTGATTTCAGTTACAAAACCTAACCTCAAACCGGATCCCACAGTCATCACTTACCTGTTCAAATTTGCGTAAGGCAGCAAGCATTCTAAAACGATCGCCGTCGAAGACCAAAGAACTTGAATTTAATCCCTGGAACAAAGTTTTCTGAAAAGCCGACAGAGGATGTAGAAACCATAAAAATACGAGTGAAAAATACGTAACCACTCACTACAGGCCGCCTGCCGCCCACTACTGACTACTGACTGAGGCTTACAGGCTGGCCACTGCCATCAAAAATACATCATTAAACAATTTATTTATTTTTCATTATTTTTGATAGAATATTAAGAGGGGTACATCGAAACCTGTTCAAACAGGCTAAAAGAGCTCAACGACTGGAAACAGGCAAAAGAAGCGGCGATTCAGAACGCCTCAAAGCCTGGGTCAAGGGGTGCCACCTCTTCCGCAGCCCTCGGAGTCGGCAGGGTGGGTAGCGCGACGGCGAGCGCCGTGCCCGCGGGGGGCGCCAGCCAGCAGCCGCCCGATACCGTACCGACCACCGTGGACTTGGAGGTCATGCCAGAGGTGTGGGTGGTGCAGAAATACATCGACAGGCCCTACCTCATCGCCGGGAAGAAGTTCGACATCCGCTTCTACGTGCTAGTTACTTCGGTACGTTCCCCCTGGATGAACTACGTTTTTGTTTAATACACTTGCTGAAGAACTCTCCTCCTTTTGTTGCCAGTTTCGGCCTCTGAAGGTGTGGATGGCTCGCGAGGGCTTCGCTAGGATGTGCGGTGACGCTTACGACCTGCGGTCCCTCAATAACCAGAGAGGGCACCTCACCAACATGGCCATCCAGCTCAAGGGCAACGACACTGACGTCCCGGTAAGTCCAGGCACCCCTACTCGTTTGTGGCGTTGAGGACCGCGGGCATAAGGCTCCACAACGACTGGCTGCGGTCGCGGGGCCACGCCGTTCGGTACGCAGCCCGCTAGACAAGGCTGCCCGTTTGGCGCGGGGAGTACTGTCGGTGCCGGGGCATATCCCGCGCCCGAGAACTACTCCCGCGTCGACCTGCCCCGCAGGGTTGCAAGTGGGGCCTGCGGCGACTGCGCCAGTTTCTGACGACGGCGCATGGCCCCGCCGACGTGGACCGCCTGTTCCAGAGGATCGCCCATGTGGTCATGACCAGCCTGCGCTCCGTCCAGCAGGCCATCCTACAGGTAGGGCATACGGGAAGGAGGAAAGCTGTCTTCCGAATGTCTTCGACGAGGCCCATCCGCCATCCCCTCTCCAGGACAGGCACTGCTTCGAGCTCTACGGCTACGACGTGCTGCTGGACGAGGAGCTGAACCCCTGGCTGCTCGAGGTGAACGCGTCCCCCTCCCTGACGGCCACTGACCCCGAAGACTACCGCCTCAAGTACCAGCTCCTGGAGGACGTCCTCAATGTCATTGACATGGAGGGGAAGTGGGTTTCACGCCACGTAGTCAAACCTGTGATCGTTATGACAGCGTTTTATACATCGAAATTAATGTTTATGCGACTGGTATCGTTGCCTATAGGCTGACTGGTCACGAGCGGCAGGTGGGGGGTCTCGACCTGCTCTGGGACGACGGCCCGGTGTTCCGCCGGTGCCCCGAGGGATCCTGCGGCGTCCTGAGGCCCCAACCCCCAAACCAGTGCCGGTCCCTCAACGTGATGCTAGGTCAGGACACGAGTCGTGACACCCAATATGCTTTATGGTGATGACAGGTGCCCAACTCGGAAAATTCGTGTGCGCCGTACTCCTAAACGTCAATAAGCACCTAACCAAGTGTGGCTACGACGAAAATTTCCGTGACAGATGGTGTGTCACGCCCACACGCTGGCGTGTGGGACAAAATGCTGTGACACAACACACGGTGTCACGTTTCATGTTGTACTTAACTGTTCGAAGGAAATGCCAAGGTATTACCTCGGACACAATATTTATACCTCGAATTCGTTGTTGTTCCAGGATGTTACAACAACAGAACGGAGCAACTAGAAGAATTAGGGAGATGGCGTGAGATTCTAGCAGAACATTCTGTTTAGTTGACTATAGATGTGTACAAAAGTAAGGGGAAACATATTTTTTTAGAAAAAATTTATTCATTGTCCACTTTACAACTGTTGTGCTGTTCGGATCCAATGTTGTACGTGTCTTATCACAATATCTCTACAATATGTACATTATGTTCAGCAGATTAATATTTATAACAGTCAAATCGTATAAAAAGGCATTAGAAACTTGTGCAAAATTATGTCTGGATCCCGAGATGCACGCAAGATAGAAAATGTGAACTTTTTAAACAATTATTTTCAACTCGGCTCTCTTCTTTCACTCAGACTCTTTGTTCACATGACTCGGTACTCTGCTGATCATCGATCAAAAATTTATCTTTTATCACATTTTCCCCTCCTCTTCAAAAACACAGTCAGGTTCGCAACACGGTTCGGCAGCGCGGACAATATAATTGCGAAAATAGCTATTAAAACAGCTGTAGGCAATAACAGCGAAGGAAAAAACGGTAACTCGTAAAGCGAAAATTTTTCTTCTTCGGATGGAGTTAGTCTGATGGTGGTAGGGGCGCGTGGGGTGGGTTGGGGGAGGACAACTCCAGGGGTCCTCCTCGGCGCGTCGCGTGGTTCCAGGGCGGCCGCCACACGCGGCCAGGTCTATCACGGGGCTGCCTGGCGGCGAGCTGCTCGGCGGCCTGCCTAGCAGTTGCAGTCGCAGGCGCAGCGGCGGACACGCTTCTCACGGTGCAGCAGGGCGTCCACGCTGCGGACGGACCGGGGCTGCACGTCTGTGGGAACAATCACATTGTCGGCTTTAGAGGAGCAAGTCCCTGTGAGCTCCCGGGCCCGAGGGTCCTGGCGGAGAGAAATCGCTGACTTACAGTGCGGCCTGGGCTCCTCCTCCTGCGGGGGCACGGCGTGGATGGGGGTCCTCTGGTACGGTGGGCGCAGGGTGTCGGCGGGCAGGGGCGCGGGCGGGCCCTGGGGCTGCTGGGCCTGCAACAAGAGGCGCTTTGTGAGGTCGGGTGGGGTTAGAGTTGCACCGGGGCCGTCGACGACGCGGACTGTTAACCGACCTGCTGCATGTCCTGGGGGTGCTGGAAGGCACGCGCCTCGATCACCTCGATCGGAAGGATCTGGGGGCCGGAGCCGTCCTGGGGCTGCATCTGCTGCAGCTGGTGGAGCTGCTCGAGGTGCTGCAGCTGCTGGGGCGTGAGGGAGCGGCCCTCCATCTCGATGGGTCCGTCGCGGCCCTCAACCTCCACGGTCATGGCGGCCTGCACGGGCACGCCGCGGAGCTCGAGGGGCACGCCCTGTGACAGACGGGGCAGCGGTCAGGGGACAAACGTTACAGCATCACATCGAACTGGCCGACTTATTTTCGTGCTATAACGCCCTCCCGATTCTCCTGCAGAAGCTGAGCACCCGACTCACCTGGCCCTGGAAGCCGCGTCCCCGGGGCGAGGGTGCCGGCCCCTCGGGGAGGTTAGGGAAGAGCCTGCCCTGGCGGGGCGGGTGGCTGTCGTGCTCGAAGCCTTGGGCCGCGGCGAGAGGCACATGCTGGGGGGCGTGCATGGTTACGAGGGGGGTCTGCTGCGGGAAAGCAGAAAGAAAGCCGAAACGATAAGCAAATGGCCGAGTGGCGGGGC